AGGCAAAGTAGCCCGGAGAGAAAGGCTGCAGAGGATCCCAAGAAGAACAAGTAAAGGCAAAGTAGCCCGGAGAGAAAGACTGCAGAAGATCCCAAGAAGAAGAAAAAGCAAAGGCAAAGTAGCCCTGCAGAGGATCCCCAGAAGAAGAAGCAAAGGCAAAGTAGCCCGGAGAGAAAAGCTACAGAGGACCCCAAGAAGAAGACGAAGAAGAAGCAAAGGCAAAATAGCCCGGAGAGAAAGGCTGCAGAGGATTCCAAGAAGAGAAGAAGCAAAGGCAAAGTAGCCTGGAGAGAAAGGCTGCAGAGGATCCCAAGAAGAAGAAGAAGCAAAGGCAAGATTGCCCGGAGAGAAAGGCTGCAGAGGATCCCAAGAAGAAGAAGAAGAAGCAAAGGCAAAATAGCCCGGAGAGAAAGGCTGCAGAGGATCCCAAGAAGAAGAAGAAGCAAAGGCAAAGTAGCCCAGAGAGAAAGGCTGCAGAGGATCCCAAGAAGAAGCAGCAAAGGCAAAAGAAAACGGAGAGAAAGGCTGCAGAGGATCCCAAGAAGAAGAAGCAAAGGCAAAGTAGCCCGGAGAGAAAGGCTGCAGAGGATCCCAAGAAGAAGAAGAAGAAGCAAAGGCAAAGTAACACGGAGAGAAAGGCTGCAGAGGATCCCAAGAAGAAGAAGCAAAGGTAAAAAAGCTCGGAGAGAAAGGCTGCAAAGGATCCCAAGAAGAAGAAGCAAAGGCAAAGTAGGCCGGAGAGAAAGGCTGCAGAGGATCCCAAGAAGAAGAAGAAGCAAAGCCAAAGTAGCCCGGAGAGAAAGGCTGCAGAGGATCCCGAGAAGAAGATGAAGGAAAAGAAGAAGAAGCAAAGGCAAAGTAGCCCGGAGAGAAAGGCTGCAGAGGATCCCAAGAAGAAGAAGAAGCCAAGGCAAAGTAGCCCGGAGAGAAAGGCTGCAGAGGATCCCAAGAAGAAGAAGAAGAAGCAAAGGCAAAGTAGCCCGGAGAGAAAGGTTGCAGAGGATCCCAAGAAGAAGAAGCAAAGGCAAAAGAGCCCGGAGAGAAAGGCTACAGAGGATCCCAAGAAGAAGAAGAAGCAAAGGCAAAAGAGCCCGGAGAGAAAGGCTGCAGAGGATGAAGCAAAGGCAAAATAGCCCGGAGAGAAAGGCTGCAGAAGATCCCAAGAAGAAGAAGAAGCAAAGCCAAAGTAACCCGGAGAGAAAGGCTGCAGAGGATCCCAAGAAGAAGAAGAAGAAGAAGCAAAGGCAAAAGAGCCCGGAGAGAAAGTCTGCAGAGGATCCCAAGAAGAAGAAGAAGCAGCAAAGGCAAAGTAGCCCGGAGAGAAAGGCTGCAGAGGCTTCCAAGAAGAAGAAGCAAAGGCAAAGTAGTCCGGAGAGAAAGACTGCAGAGGATCCCAAGAAGAAGAAGAAGCAAATGCAAAAGAGACCGGAGAGAAAGGCTGCAGAGGATCCCAAGAAGAAGAAGAAGCAAAGGTAAAAAAGCACGGAGAGAAAGGCTGCAGAATATCCCAAGAAGAAGAAGAAGCAAAGGCAAAGTAGCCCGAAGAGAAAGGCTGCAGAGGATCCCAAGGAGAAGAAGAAGCAAAGGCAAAGTAGCCCGGAGAGAAAGGCTGCAGAGGATCCCAAGAAGAAGAAGAAGCAAAGGCAAAATAGCCCGGAGAGAAAGGCTGCAGAGGATCCCAAGAAGAAGAAGCCAAGGCGAAGTAGCCCGGAAAGAAAGGCTGCAGAGGATCCCAAGAAGAAGAAGAAGCAAAGATACAATAGCCCGGAGAGAAAGGCTGCAGAGGATCCCAAGAAGAAGAAGAAGCAAAGGCAAAGTGGCCCAGAGAGAAAGGCTGCAGAGGATCCCAAGAAGAAGAAGCAAAGGCAAAGTGGCCCAGAGAGAAAGGCTGCAGAGGATCCCAAGAAGAAGAAGCAAAGACAAAGTAGCCCGGAGAGAAAGGCTGCAGAGGATCCCAAGAAGACGAAGAAACAAAGGTAAAATAGCCCGGAGAGAAAGGCTGCAGAGGGTCCCAAGAAGAAGAAGAAGAAGCAAAGGCAAAGTAGCCCGGAGAGAAAGGCTGCAGAGGATCCCAAGAAGAAGAAGAAGCAAAGGCAAAGCAGCCCGAGAGAAAGACTGCAGAGGATCCCAAGAAGAAGAAGAAGCAAAGGCAAAAGAGCCCGGAGAGAAAGGCTGCAGAGGATCCCAAGAAGAAGAAGAAGAAGAAGCAGCAAAGGCAAAGTAGTCCGGAGAGAAAGGCTGCAGAGGCTTCCAAGAAGAAGAAGCAAAGGCAAAGTAGCCCGGAGAGAAAGGCTGCAGAGGATCCCAAGAAGAAGAAGCAAAGGCAAAATTGCCCGGAGAGAATTGCCCGGAGAGAAAGGCTGCAGACGATCCCAAGAAGAAGAAGAAGCAAAGGCAAAGTAGCCCGGAGAGAAAGGCTGCAGAGGATCCCAAGAAGAAGAAGCAAAGGCAAAATAGCCCGGAGAGAAAGGCTGCAGAGGATCCCAAGAAGAAGAAAAAGAAGAAGCAAAGGCAAAAAAGCCCGGAGAGAAAGGCTACAGAGGATCCCAAGAAGAAGAAGCAAAGGCAAAGTAGCCCGGAGAGAAAGGCTGCAGAGGATCCGCAGAAGAAGAAGAAGCAAAGGCAAAGTAGCCGGGAGAGAAAGGCGGCAGAGGATCACAAGAAGAAGAAGAAGCAAAGATAAAATAGCCCGGAGAGAAAGCGTGTAGAGGATCCCTCAGAAGAAGAAGCAAAGGCAAAATAGCCCGGAGAGAAAGATTGCAGAGGACCCCAAGAAGAAGAAGAAGAAGTCAGAAGTAAAGGCAAAGTAGCCCGGAGAGAAAGGCTGGCAGAGGATCCCCAAGAAGAAGAAGAAGTAAAGGGCAAAATAGCCCGGAGCGAAAGGCTGCAGAGGATCCCAAGAAGAAGAAGAAGCAAAGGCAAAGTAGCCCGGAGAGAAAGGCTGCAGAGGATCCCAAGAAGAACAAGTAAAGGCAAAGTAGCCCGGAGAGAAAGACTGCAGGCAAAGTAGCCAGGAGAGAAAGACTGCAGAGGATCCCAAGAAGAAGAAGGAAGCAAAGGCGAAAAAGTCCGGAGAGAAAGGTTGCAGAGGATCCCAAGAAGAAGAAGCAAAGGCAAAGCAGCCCGGAGAGAAAGGCTGCAGAGGATCCCAAGAGGAAGAAGAAGCAAAGATACAATAGCCCGGAGAGAAAGACTGCAGAGGATCCCAAGAAGAAGAAGGAAGCAAAGGCGAAAAAGTCCGGAGAGAAAGGCTATAGAGGATCCCAAGAAGATCAAGAAGCAAAGGCAAAGTAGTCCGGAGAGAAAGGCTGCGGAGGATCCCAAGAAGAAGAAGCAAAGGCAAAGTAGTCCGGAGAGAAAGGTTGCAGAGGATCCCAAGAAGAAGAAGAAGAAGAAGAAGAAGCAAAGGTAAAGTAGCCCGGATAGAAAAAGTGCAGAGGATCCCAAGAAGATGAAGAAGCAAAGGCAACGTAGCCCGGAGAGAAAGGCTGCAGAGGATCCCAAGAAGAAGAAGCCAAGGCAAAGTAGCCCGGAGAGAAAGGCTGCAGAGGATTTCAAGAAGAAGAAGCAAAGGCAAAGTAGCCCGCAGAGAAAGGCTGCAGAGGATCCCAAGAAGAAGAAGAAGCAAAGATACAATAGCCCGGAGAGAAAGGCTGCAGAGGATCCCAAGAAGAAGAAGAAGCAAAGGCAAAATAGCCCGGAGAGAAAGGCTGCAGAGGATCCCAAGAAGAAGAAATAAAGGCAAAAGAGCCCGGAGAGAAAGGCTGCAGAGGATCTCAAGAAGAAGAAGAAGCAAAGGCAAAGTAGCTCGGAGAGAAAGGCTGCAGAGGATCCCAAGAAGAAGAAGAAGGAAAGGCAAAATTGCCCGGAGAGAAAGGCTGCAGAGGATCCCAAGAAGAAGAAGCAAAGGCAAAGTAGCCCGGAGAGAAAGGCTGCAGAGAATCCCAAGAAGAAGAAGCAAAGGCAAAGTAGCCCGGAAAGAAAGGTTGCAGAGGATCCCAAGAAGAAGATGCAAAGGCAAAATAGTCCGGAGAGAAAGGCTGCAGAGGATCCCAAGAAGAAGAAGAAGCAAAGGCAAAATAGCCGGAGAGAAAGGCTGCAGAGGATCCCAAGAAGAAGAAGTAAAGGCAAAGTAGCCCGGAGAGAAAGGCTGCAGAGGATCCCAAGAAGAAGAAGAAGCAAAGGCAAAGTAGCCCGGAGAGAAAGGCTGCAGAGGATCCCCAGAAGAAGAAGAAGAAGAAGCAAAGGCAACGTAGCCCGGAGAGAAAGGCTGCAGAGGATCCCAAAAAGAAGAAGAAGCAAAGGTAAAAAAGCCCGGAGAGAAAGGCTATAAAGGACCCCAAGAAGAAGAAGCAAAGGCAAAAAAGTCCGGAGAGAAAGGCTGCAGAGGACCCCAAGAAGAAGAAGAAGCAAAGGTAAAGAAGTCCGGAGAGAAAGGTTGCAGAGGATCCCAAGAAGAAGAAGCAAAGGCAAAGTAGCCCGGAGAGAACGGCTGCAGAGGATCCCAAGAAGAAGAAGAAGAAAAGGCAAAGTAGCCCGGAGAGAAAGGCTGTAGAGGATCCCAAGAAGAACAAGCAAAGGCAAAGTAGCCCGGAGAGAAAGACTGCAGAGGATCCCAAGAAGAATAAGAAGCAAAGACAAAGTAGTCCGGAGAGAAAAGCTGCAGAGGATCCCAAGAAGAAGAAGAAGAAGAAGTAAAGGCAAAGTAGCCCGGAGAGAAAGACTGTAGAGGATCCCAAGAAGAAGAAGAAGCAAAGGCAAAGTATTGGTAGCCCGGAGAGAAAAGCTGCAGAGGATCCCAAGAAGAAGAAGCAAAGGCAAAGTAGCCCGGAAAGAAAGGAGAGAAAGGCTGCAGAGGATCCCAAGAAGAAGAAGTAAAGGCAAAGTAGCCCGGAGAGAAAGGCTGCAGAGGATCCCAAGAAGAAGAAGAAGAAGAAGCAAAGGCAAAGTAGCCCGGAGAGAAAGTCTGCAGAGGATCTCAAAAAGAAAAAGCAAAGGCAAAGTAGCCCGGAGAGAAAGGCTGCAGAGGATCCCAGTAAGAAGAAGAAGAAATACAGGAAAAGTAGCCCGGAGAGAAAGGCTGCAGAGGATCCCAAGAAGAAGAAGCCAAGGCAAAGTAGCCCGGAGAGAAAGGCTGCAGAGGATCCTAAAAAGAAGAAGAGGAAGCAAAGGCAAACTAGTCCGGAGAGAAAGGCTGCAGAGGATCCCAAGAAGAAGAAGAAGCAAAGGCAAAGCAGCCCGAGAGAAAGTCTGCAGAGGATCCCAAGAAGAAAAAGCAAAGGCAATGTAGCCCTACAGAGGATCCCAAGAAGAAGAAGAAGCAAAGGCAAAACAGCCCGGAGAGTAAGGCTATAGAGGATCCCAAGAAGTAGAAGAAGAAGAAGCAAAGGCAATCTAGCCCGGAGAGAAAGGCTGCAGAGGATCCCAAGAAGAGAAGAAGCAAAGGCAAAGTAGCCCGGAGAGAAAGGCTGCAGAGGATCCCAAGACGAAGAAGAAGCAAAGATAAAATAGCCCGGAGAGAAAGGCTGCAGAGGATCCCAAGAAGAAGAAATAAAGGCAAAGTAGCCCGGAGAGAAAGGCTGCAGAGGATCCCAAGAAGAAGAAGAAGCAAAGGCAAAGTAGTGGTAGCCCGGAGAGAAAGGCTGCATTGGAACCCAAGAAGAAGCAGCAAAGGCAAAAGAAACCGGAGAGAAAGGCTGCAGAGGACCCCAAGAAGAAGAAGAAGCAAAGACAAAATAGCCCGGAGAGAAAGGCTGCAGAGGATCCCAACAAGAAGAAGAAGCAAAGGCAAAGTAACACGGAGAGAAAGGCTGCAGAGGATCCCAAGAAGAAGAAGAAGCAAAGGTAAAAAAGCTCGGAGAGAAAGGCTGCAAAGGATCCCAAGAAGAAGAAGCAAAGGCAAAGTAGGCCGGAGAGAAAGGCTGCAGAGGATCCCAAGAAGAAGAAGAAGAAGCAAAGCAAAAGTAGGCCGGAGAGAAAGGCTGCAGAGGATCCCAAGCAGAAGAAGAAGAGAAAAAGAAGGAAAAAAAAAATAAGAAGAAGAAGCAAAGCAAAAGGCAAAAGTAGCCGAAAGGCAGGGATGCAGAGGATCCAAGAAGAAGGAATGAAGCAAAGGCAAAGTAGTGGTAGCCCGGAGAGAAAGGCTGCAGAGGATGGCCCAAGAAGAATTAAGCCCGGAGAGTAAAGGCTATAGAGGGTCCCAAAAGAGAAGAAGAAGGAGCAAAGGCAAAGTAGCCCGGAGGAGAAAGTCTGCAGAACTCCCAAGAGAAGAAGAAGCAAAGGCAAATAGCCCGAAGAGAAAGGCGCAGAGGACCCAAGGAGAGAAGAAGAAGCAAAGGCAAAGTAGCCCGGAGAGAAAGGCTGCAGAGGATCCCAAGAAGAAGAAGAAGCAAAGGCAAAGTAGAAAGGTTGCAGAGGATCCCAAGACGAAGAAGAAGCAAAGACAAAGTAGCCCGGAAAGAACGGCTGCAGAGGATTCCAAGAAGAAGAAGAAGAAGCAAAGGCAAACTAGCCCGGAAGAAGCAAAGGCAAAATTGCCCGGAGAGAAAAGCTGCAGAGGATCCCAAGAAGAAGAAGAAGAAGCAAAGGCAAAGTAGCCCGGAGAGAAAGGCTGCAGAGGATCCCAAGAAGAAGCAGAAGCAAAGGCAAAGTAGCCCGGAGAGAAAAGCTGCAGAGGATCCCAAGAAGAAGAAGAAGCAAAGGCAAAGTAGCCCGGAGAGAAAGGATGCAGAGGATCCCAAGAAGAAGAAGAAGGAAAGGCCAAAATAGCCCGGAGAGAAAGAGACCCTGCAGAGGATCCCAAGAAGAATAAGAGCAAAGCAAAAGAGCCCGGAGAGAAAGGCTGCATATGATCCCAAAGAAGAAGAAGAAAAGCAGCAAAGGCAAGTAGGCCGTAGAGAAGGGCCAGAGGCTTCCAAGAAGAAGACAAAAGGCAAAGTCGCCGGAGAGAAAGGCTGCAGATTATCCCAAGAAGAAGAAGAAGCAAGGCATATTGCCCGGAGAGAAAGCCTGCAGACGATCCCCAAGGAGAAGAAAGAAGCCAAGGCAAAGTAGCCCGGAGAGACAGGCCTGCAGAGGATCCAAGAAGAAGAAAAGCAAAGGCAAATAGCCCGGAGAGAAAAGGCTGCAGAGTAATCCCAAGAATAAGAAGAAGAAGCACAGCACAGGCAAAAAAGCCCGGAGAGAAAGGCTACAGAGGATCCCAAGAAGAAGAAGCAAAGGCAAAGTAGCCCGGAGAGAAAGGCTGCAGAGGATCCCAAGAAGAAGAAGCAAAGGCAAAGTAGCCCGGAGAGAAAGGTTGCAGAGGATCACAAGAAGAAGAAGAAGAAGCGAAGGCAAAGTAACACGGAGAGAAAGGCTGCAGAGGATCCCAAGAAGAAGAAGAAGCAAAGGCAAAATAGCCCGGAGAGAAAGGTTGCAGAGGATCCCAAGAAGAAGAAGAAGAAGAAGAAGAAGAAGCAAAGGCAAAGTAGCCCGGAGAGAAAGGCTGCAGAAGATCCCAAGAAGAAGAAGAAGCAAAGGCAAAGTAGCCCGGAGAGAAAGGCTGCAGAGGATCCCAAGAAGAAGAAGAAGCAAAGGCAAAATAGCCCGGAGACAAAGGCTATAGAGGATCCCAAGAAGAAGAAGCAAAGGCAAAATAGCCCGGAGAGAAAGGTTGCAGAGGATCCCAAGAAGAAGAAGAAAAGGCAAAGTAGCCCGGAGAGAAAGGCTGCAGAGGATCCCAAGAAGAAGAAGCAAAGGCAAAGTAGCCCGGAGAGAAAGGCTATAGAGGGTCCAAGCAGAAGAAGGAGCAAAGGCAAAGTATTGGTAGCCCGGAGAGAAAGGCTGCATTGGATCCCAAGAAGAAGAAGCAAAGGCAAAGTAGCCCGGAGGGAAAGGCTACAGAGGATCCCAAGAAGAAGAAGCAAAGGCAAAGTAGCCCGCAGAGAAAGGCTGCAGAGGATCCCAAGAAGAAGAAGAAGAAGAAAACGAAGAAGAAGAAGAAGAAGAAGAAGCAAAGGCAAAGTAGCCCGGAGGGAAAGGCTGCAGAGGATCCCAAGAAGAAGAAGCCAAGGCAAAGTAGCCCGGAGAGAAAGGCTACAGAGGATTTCAAGAAGAAGAAGAAGAGGCAAAGTAGCCCGGAGAGAAAGGCTGCAGAGGATCCCAAGAAGAAGAAGAAGCAAAGATAAAATAGCCCAGAGAGAAAGGCTGCAGAACATCCCAAGAAGAAGAAGAAGCAAAGGCAAAACAAGTCCGGAGAGAAAGGCTGCAGAGGATCCCAAGAAGAAGAAGCAAAGACAAAGTAGCCCGGAGAGAAAGGCTGCAGAGGATCCCAAGAAGAAGAAGAAACAATGGTAAAATAGCCCGGAGAGAAAGGCTGCAGAGGGTCCCAAGAAGAAGAAGAAGCAAAGGCAAAGTGGCCAGGAGAGAAAGGCTGCAGAGGATCCCAAGAAGAAGAAGAAGCAAAGGCAAAGTAGAAAGGTTGCAGAGGATCCCAAGAAGAAGAAGAAGAAGCAAAGGCAACGTAGCCCGGAGAGAAAGGCTACAGAGGATCCCAAGAAGAAGAAGAAGCAAAGGCAAAATAGCCCGCAGAGAAAGACTGCAGGGGATCCCAAGAAGAAGAAGTCAAAGGCAAAGTATCCCGGATAGAAGGTTTTGCAGAGGATCCAAGAATAAAGAAGAAGCACAAGGCAAGTAGTCTGTAGAGAAAGGCTGCAGAGGATCCCAGAGAAGGAAGAAGAAAGCAAAGGCAAAGTAGCCCGAGGGAAAGGCTGGCATAGGATCCCAAATAAGAAGAAGCAAGGCCAAGTAGCCCCGGATAGAAAGGCTACAGAGATTTCAGAAGAAGAAAGAAAAGGCCAAAGTGCCCGAGAGAACCTGCAGATGCTCCCAAGAATAGTCGAACGCAAAGGATTCCTGGAAGAGAAAAGGCTGCAGAGGACCCACGACAGAGAAGAAGCAAAGGCAAAGTAGCCCCGGAGAGACAAGTCTGCAGAGGATCCCAGAGAAGAAAGAAGCAAAGCAAAAAAATTGGTAGCCCGGAGAGAAAGGGCTGCATTGGTCCCGCGAAGAAGAAGAAGCAAAGGCAAAGTAGCCCGGAGAGAAAGGCTGCAGAAGATCCCAAGAAGAAGAAGAAGCAAAGGCAAAGTAGCCCAGAGAGAAAGGCTGCAGAGGATCCCAAGACGGAGAAGAAGTAAAGGCAAAGTAGCCCGGAGAGAAAGGCTGCAGAGGAACCCAAGAAGAAGAAGAATCAAAGGCAAAGTATTGGTAGCCCGGAGAGAAAGGCTGCATTGGATCCCAAGAAGAAGAAGAAGAAGCAAAGGCAGAGTAGCCCGGAGAGAAAGGCTGCAGAGGATCCCAGTAAGAAGAAGAGCACAGGCACGTAGCCCTGAGAGAAAGGTTGCAGAGACTTCCCAATAATAAGAGAAGCCAAAGGCAAAGTACGCCCGAGATAAGAGCTGCAGATGATCCCAAGAAGAAGAAGCAAAGGCAAAGTAGCCCGGAGAGAAAGACTGCAGAGGATCCCAAGAAGAAGAAGAAGAAGTAAAGACAAAATAGCCCGGAGAGAAACGCTACAGAGGATCCCAAGAAGAAGAAGAAGCAAAGGCAAAAGAGCTCGAAGAGAAAGGCTGCAGAGGATCCCAAGAAGAAGAAGAAGAAGCAAAGCCAAAAAAGTCCGGAGAGAAAGGCTGCAGAGGATCCCAAGAAGAAAAAGCAAAGGTAAAGTAGCCTTGCAGAGGATCCCAAGAAGAAGAAGAAGAAGCAAAGGCAAAGTAGTCCGGAGAGAAAGGCTGCAGAGGATCCCAAGAAGAAGAAGCAAAGGCAAAGTAGCCCGGAGAGAAAAGCTGCAGAGGATCCCAAGAAGAAGAAGAAGAAGAAGCAAAGGCAAAGTAGCCCGGAGAGAAAGGCTGCAGAGGATCCCAAGAAGAAGAAGAAGCAAAGGCAAAGTAGCCCGGAGAGAAAGGCTATAAAGGACCCCAGGAAGAAGAAGCAAAGGCAAAGTAGTCCGGAGAGAAAGGCTATAGAGGATCCCAAGAAGAAGAAGAAGCAAAGGCAAAGAAGTCCGGAGAGAAAGCCTGTAGAGGATCCCAAGAAGAAGAAGCAAAGGCTATATAGCCCGGAGAGAAAGGCTGCAGAGGATCCCAGTAAGAAGAAGAAGAAGAAATAAAGGCAAAGTAGCCCGGAGAGAAAGGCTGCAGAGGATCCCAAGAAGAAGAAGCCAAGGCAAAGTAGCCCGGAGAGAAAGGCTGCAGAGGATCCCAAGAAGAAGATGAAGCAAAGGCAAAGTAGCCCGGAGGGAAAGGCTGCAGAGGATCCCAAGAAGAAGAAGCAAAGGCAAAGTAGCCCGGAGAGAAAGGCTACAGAGGATTTCAAGAAGAAGAAGAAAAGGCAAAGTAGCCCGGAGAGAAAGGCTGCAGAGGATCCCAAGAAGAAGAAGTAAAGGCAAAGTAGCCCGTAGAGAAAGGCTGCAGAGGATCCCAAGAAGAAGAAGAAGAAGCAAAGGCAAAGTAGCCCGGAGAGAAAGGCAAGGCAAAACAGCCCGGAGAGAAAGGCTGCAGAGGATCCCAAGAAGAAGAAGAAGCAAAGGCAAAGTAGCCAGGAGAGAAAGACTGCAGAGGATCCCAAGAAGAAGAAGGAAGCGAAGGCGAAAAAGTCCGGAGAGAAAGGTTGCAGAGGATCCCAAGAAGAAGAAGCAAAGGCAAAGCAGCCCGGAGAGAAAGGCTGCAGAGGATCCCAAGAAGAAGAAGAAGCAAAGGCAAAGTAACCAGGAGAGAAAGACTGCAAAGGATCCCAAGAAGAAGAAGAAGAAGCAAAGGCAAAGTAGCCCGGAGAGAAAGGCTGCAGAGGATCCCAAGAAGAAGAAGAAGAAGCAAAGGCAAAGTAGAAAGGTTGCAGAGGATCCCAAGAAGAAGAAGAAGCAAAGGCAAAGTAGCCCGGAGAGAAAGGCTACAGAAGATCCCAAGAAGAAGAAGAAGCAAAGGCAAAGTAGCGAGGACAGAAAGGCTGCAGAGGATCCCAAGAAGAAGAAGCAAAGGCAAAGTAGCCCGGAGGGAAAGGCTGCAGAGGATCCCAAGAAGAAGAAGAAGAAGCAAAGGCAAAAGAGCTCGCAGAGAAAGGCTGCAGAGGATCCCAAGAAGAAGAAGAAGAAAGGCAAAGTAGCCCGGAGAGAAACGCTGCAGAGGATCCCAAGAATGCGTGTGTGGGAAAAAAAGCCAGGCAACAAGTAGCCCGAGAGAAAGCTTTTGTTGTTTTTTCAAAAAAAAAAAAAGGGATTTCCAAGAAGGGTAAAGAAAAGTGCAATTAGCCCGGAGAGCAAGGCTGCGAGGTCCCAAGAAGAAATACGAACAAAGGAGTCTGGAATAGACAGCTGCGAGGATCCCAGAAGAGAGAGAAGCAAAGGCAAAGTAGCCCGAGAGACAAAAATGCGCAGAGGAAAAAAAAATCCCAAGAAGAAGAAGAAGCAAAGGCAAAGTAGCCAGGAGAGAAAGGCTGCAAAGGATCCCAAAAAGAAGAAGCAAAGGCAAAGTAGTCCGGAGAGAAAGGCTGCAGAAGATCCCAAGAAGAAGAAGAAGCAAAGGCAAAATAGCCCAGAGAGAAAGGCTGCAGAGGACCCCAAGACGAAGAAGAAGTAAAGGCAAAGTAGCCCGGAGAGAAAGGCTGCAGAGGATCCCAAGAATAAGAAGAAGTAAAGGCAAAGTAGCCCGGAGAGAAAGGCTGTAGAGGATCCCAAGAAGAAGAAGCAAAGGCTATATAGCCCGGAGAGAAAGGTTGCAGAGGATCCCAAGAAGAAGAAGAAGCAAAGGCAAAGTGGCCCGGAGAGAAAAGCTGTAGAGGATCCCAAGAAGAAGCAGCAAAGGCAAAGTAGCCCGGAGAGAAAGACTGCAGAGGAACACAAGAAGAAGAAGCAAAGGCAAAGTAGCCCGGAGAGAAAGACTGCAGAGGATCCCAAGAAGAAGAAGAAGTAAAGGCAAAATAGCCCGGAGGGAAAGGCTGCAGAGGATCCCAAGAAGAAGAAGAAGAAGCAAAGGCAAAAGAGCTCGCAGAGAAAGGCTGCAGAGGATCCCAAGAAGAAGAAGAACCAAAGCCAAAAAAGTCCGGAGAGAAAGGCTGCAGAGGATCCCAAGAAGAAAAAGCAAAGGTAAAGTAGCCTTGCAGAGGATCCCAAGAAGAAGAAGCAAAGGCAAAGTAGTCCGGAGAGAAAGGCTGCAGAGGATCCCAAGAAGAAGCAAAGGCAAAGTAGCCCGGAGAGAAAAGCTGCAGAGGATCCCAAGAAGAAGAAGAAGCAAAGGCAACGTAGCCAGGAGAGAAAGGCTGCAGAGGATCCCAAAAAGAAGAAGAAGCAAAGGCAAAGTAGCCCGGAGAGAACGGCTATAAAGGACCCCAAGAAGAAGAAGCAAAGGCAAAGTAGTCCGGAGAGAAAGGCTATAGAGGATCCCAAGAAGAAGAAGAAGCAAAGGCAAAGAAGTCCGGAGAGAAAGCCTGTAGAGGATCCCAAGAAGAAGAAGCAAAGGCAAAGTAGCCCGGAGAGAAAGCCTGCAGAAGATCCCAAGAAGAAGAAGCAAAGGCAAAGTAGCGAGGAGAGAAAGGCTGCAGAGGATTCCAAGAAGAAGAAGAAGCAAAGGCAAAATAGCCCGGAGAGAAAGGCTGCAGAGGATCCCAAGAAGAAGAAGAAGAAGCAAAGGCAAAGTAGCCCGGAGAGAAAGACTGCAGAGGATCCCAAGAAGAAGAAGCAAAGGCAAAGTATTGGTAGCCCGGAGAGAAAGGCTGCAGAGGATCCCAAGAAGAATAAGAAGCAAAGGCAAAGGAGTCCGGAGAGAAAAGCTGCAAAGGATCCCAAGAAGAAGAAGCAAAGGCAAAATAGCCCGGAGAGAAAGGAGAGAGAGGCTGCAGAGGATCCCAAGAAGAAGAAGTAAAGGCAAAGTAGCCCGGAGAGAAAGGCTGCAGAAGATCCCAAGAAGAAGAAGAAGCAAAGGCAAAAAATTGGTAGCCCGGAGAGAAAGGCTGCATTGGATCCCGAGAAGAAGAAGAAGCAAAGGCAAAGTAGCCCGGAGAGAAAGGCTGCAGAGGATCCCAGCAAGAAGAAGAAGAAGAAATAAAGGCAAAGTAGCCCGGAGAGAAAGGCTGCAGAGGATCCCAAGAAGAAGAAGCCAAGGCAAAGTAGCCCGGAGAGAAAGGCTGCAGAGGATCCCAAGAAGAAGATGAAGCAAAGGCAAAGTAGCCCTGCAGAGGATCCCAAGAAGAAGAAGAAGCAAAGGCAAAACAGCCCGGAGAGTAAGGCTATAGAGGATCCCAAGAAGAAGAAGCAAAGGCAACCTAGCCGGAGAGAAAGGCTGCAGAGGATCCCAAGAAGAAGAAGAGGCAAAGGCAAAGTAGTCCGGAGAGAAAGGCTGAAGAGCATCCCAAGAAGAAGAAGAAGAAGCAAAGGCAAAGCAGCTCGGAGAGAAAGGTTGCAGAGGATTCCAAGACGAAGAAGAAGACGAAGCAAAGGCAAAAGAGTCCGGAGAGAAAGGCTGCAGAGGACCCCAAGAAGAAGAAGAAGCAAAGGCAAAGTAGCCCGGAGAGAAAGGCTATAGAGGGTCCCAAGAAGAAGGAGCAAAGGCAAAGTAGCCCGGAGAGAAAAGCTGCAGAATATCTCAAGAAGAAGAAGAAGCAAAGGCAAAGTAGCCCGGAGAGAAAGGCTGCAGAGGATCCCAAGAAGAAGAAGAAGAAGCAAAGGCTATATAGCCCGGAGAGAAACGGCAAGGATCCCAAGAAGAAGAAGAAGCAAAGGCAGAAAGGTCTGCAGAGGATCCCAAGAAGAAGAAGAAGCAAAGGCAAGTAGAGAAGCCGAGGATCCCAAGAAGAAGAAAAGCAAAAGGCAAAAGCCCACCTGCAGAGGATCCCAAGCAAGAGAGAAGAAGAAGCAAAGGCAAAGTAGCCCGGATAGAAAAGGCTACAGAAGATCCCAAGAAGAAGAGCAAAGCAAAGTAGCCCGGAGAGAAAGGCGCGGAGGATCCCAAGAAGAAGCAAGCAAAGCCGAGAGAAAACGCTAGCCAAGAAATAAGAAGGAGAGAGAAAGGCTGCAGAGGATCCCAAGAAGAAGAAAAAGGCCAGGAGAGAAAGGCTGCAGAGGATCCCAAGAAGAAGAAGAAGAAGCAAAGGCAAAGTAGCCCGGAGAGAAAGGCTGCAGAGGATCCCAAGAAGAAGAAGAAGTAAAGGCAAAGTAGCCTGGAGAGAAAGGCTGCAGAGGATCCCAAGAAGAAGAAGAAGCAAAGGCAAAGTAGCCCGAGAGAAAGCTGCAGAGGATCCCAACAAGAAGAAGCAAAGGCAAAGTAGCCCGGAGAGAAAGGCTGCAGAGGATCCCAAAAAGAAGAAGCAAAGGCAAAGTAGCCCGGAGAGAAAAGCAGCAGAAGATCCCAAGAAGAGGAAGAAGCAAAGGCAACGTAGCGAGGAGAGAAAGGCTGCAGAGGATCCCAAGACGAAGAAGAAGTAAAGGCAAAGTAGCCCGAAGAGAAAGACTGCAGAGGATCCCAAGAAGAAGAACAAGCAAAGGCAAAGTAGCCCGGAGAGAAAGGCTGCAGAGGATCCCAAGAAGAAGAAGAAGCAAAGGCTATATAGCCCGGAGAGAAAGGCTGCAGAAGATCCCAAGAAGAAGAAGAAGAAGCAAAGACAAAGTAGCCCAGAGAGAAAGGCTGCAGAGGATCCCAAGAAGAAGAAGAAGCAAAGGCAAAGTAGTCCGGAGAGAAAGGCTACAGAGGATCTCAAGAAGAAGAAGAAGAGGCAAAGTAGCCCGGAGAGAAAGGCTGCAGAGGATCCCAAGAAGAAGAAGCAAAGATACAATAGCCCGGAGAGAAAGGCTACAGAGGATCCCAAGAAGAAGAAGAAGCAAAGGCAAAAGAGCTCGCAGAGAAAGGCTGCAGAGGATCCCAAGAAGAAGAAGAAGCAAAGGCAATATAGTCCGGAGAGAAAGGTTGCACAGGATTCCAAGAAGAGAAGAAGCAAAGGCAAAGTAGCCCGAAGAGTAAGGCTATAAAGGATCCCAAGAAGAAGAAGAAGCAAAGGCAATCTAGCCCGGAGGGAAAGGCTGCAGAGGATCCCAAGAAGAAGAAGAAGCAAAGGCAAAATAGCCCGGAGAGAAGGCTGCAGAGGATCCCAAGAAGAAGAAGAAGAAGCAAAGGCAAAGTAGCCCAGAGAGAAAGGCTGCAGAGGATCCCAAGAAGAAGCAGCAAAGGCAAAAGAAAACGGAGAGAAAGGCTGCAGAGGACCCCGAGAAGAAGAAGAAGCAAAGACAAAATAGCCCGGAGAGAAAGGCTGCAGAGGATCACAAGAAGAAGAAGAAGCAAAGGCAAAGTAACACGGAGAGAAAGGCTGCAGAGGATCCCAAGAAGAAGAAGAAGAAGCAAAGGTAAAAAAGCCCGGAGAGAAAGGCTGCAAAGGATCCCAAGAAGAAGAAGCTAAGGCAAAATAGGCCGGAGAGAAAGGCTGCAGAGGATCCCAAGAAGAAGAAGCAGAAGAAGCAAAGCCAAAGTAGCCCGGAGAGAAAGGCTGTAGAGGATCCCAAGAAGAAGAAGAAGCAAAGGCTATATAGCCCGGAGAGAAAGGCTGCAGAAGATCCCAAGAAGAAGAAGAAGCAAAGGCAAAGTAGCCAGGAGATAAAGCCTGTAGAGGATCCCAAGAAGAAGAAGTAAAGGCAAAGTAGCCAGGAGAGAAAGCCTGTAGAGGATCCCAAGAAGAAGAAGGAAGTAAAGGCGAAAAAGTCCGGAAAGAAAGGCTGTAGAGGATCCCAAAAAGAAGAAGCAAAGGCAAAATAGTCCGGAGAGAAAGGCTGTAGAGGATCCCAAGAAGAAGAAGAAGCAAAGGCAAACTAGTGGTAGCCCGGAGAGAAAGGCTGCATTGGATCCCAAGAAGAAGCAGCAAAGGCAAAAGAGGCCGGAGAGAAAGGCTGCAGAGGACCCCAAGAAGAAGAAGAAGCAAAGACAAAATAGCCCGGAGAGAAAGGTTGCAGAGGATCCCAAGAACAAGAAGAAGAAAAGGCAAAGTAACACGGAGAGAAAGGCTGCAGAGGATCCCAAGAAGAAGAAGAATCAAAGATAAAAAAGTCCGGAGAGAAAAGCTGCAAAGGATCCCAAGAAGAAGAAGCAAAGGCAAAACAGCCCGGAGAGAAAGGCTGCAGAAGATCCTAAGAAGAAGAAGAAAAAAAGGCAAAATAGACCGGAGAGAAAGGCTGCAGAGGATCCCAAGAAGAAGAAGAAGAAGCAAAGGCAAAATAGCCCGGAGAGAAAGGCTGCAGAAGATCCCAAGAAGAGGAAGCAAAGGCAAAGTAGCCCGGAGAGAAAAACTGCAGCAGATCCCAAGAAAAAGAAGAAGAAGAAGCAAAGGCAAAGTAGCCCGGAGAGAAAGGCTGCAGAGGATCCCAAGAAGAAGAAGAAAAAAAATAAGAAGAAGAAGCAAAGGCAAAGTAGTCCGGAGAGAAAGGCTGCAGAGGATCCCAAGAAGAAGAAGAAGCAAAGGCAGAATAGCCCGGAAAGAAAGACTATAGAGGACCCCAAGAAGAAGAAGCAAAGGCAAAGTAGCCCGGAGAGAAAGGCTATAGAGGATCCCAAGAAGAAGAAGCAAAGGCAAAGTAGCCCGGAGAGAAAGGCTGCAGAGGATCCCAAAAAGAAGAAGCAAAGGCAAAGTAGCCCGGAGAGAAAGGTTGCAGAGGATCCCAAAAAGAAGAAGCAAAGGCAAACTAGCCCGGAGAGAAAGACTGCAGAGGATCCCAAGAAGAAGAAGAAGCAAAGGCAAAGTAGCCCAGAGAGAAAGGCTGCAGAGGATCCCAAGACGAAGAAGAAGCAAAGGCAAAGTAGCCCGGAGAGAAAGGCTGCAGAGGATCCCAAGAAGAAGAAGCAAAGGCAAAGTAGCCCGGAGAGAAAGGCTGTAGAGGATCCCAAGAAGAAGAAGCAAAGGCAAAGTAGTCCGGAGAGAAAGATTGCAGAGGATCCCAAGAAGAAGAAGCAAAGACAAAGTAGCCCGGAGAGAAAGGCTGCAGAGGATCCCAAGAAGAAGAAGCAAAGGCAAAGCAGCCCGGAGAGAAAGGCTGCAGAGGATCCCAAGAAGAAGAAGAAGCAAAGGCAAAAAAAACCGGAGAGAAAGGCTGCAGAGGATTCCAAGAAGAAGAAGAAGCAAAGATAAAGTAGCCCGGAGAGAAAGGCTGCAGAGGATCCCAAGAACAAGAAGAAGAAGTAAAGGCAAAACAGCCCGGAGAGAAAGACTGCAGAGGATCCCAAGAAGAAGAAGCAAAGGCAAAATAGCCCGGAGAGAAAGGCTGCAGAAGATCCCAAGAAGAGGAAGCAAAGGCAAAGTAGCCCGGAGAGAAAGGCTGCAGAGGATCCCAAGAAGAAGAAGAAGCAAAGGCAAAGTAGCCCGGAGAGAAAGGCTGCAGAGGATCCCAAGAAGAAGAAGCAAAGGCAAAGTAGCCCGGAGAGAAAGGCTGCAGAGGATCCCAAGAAGAAGAAGAAGCAAAGGCAAATCCCAAGAAGAAGAAGAAGCAAAGGCAAAGTAGCCCGGAGAGAAACGCTGCAGAGGATCCCAAGAAGAAGAAGAAGCAAAGGCAAAGTAGCCCGGAGAGAAAGACTGCAGAGGATCCCAAGAAGAAGAAATAAAGGCAAAGTAGCCCGGAGAGAAAGGCTGCAGAGGATCCCAAGAAGAAGAAACAAAGGCAAAGTAGCCCGGAGAGAAAGGCTGCAGAGGATCCCAAAACGAAGAAGAAGCAGCAAAGGCAAAGTAGCCCGGAGAGAAAGGCTATAGAGGATCCCAAGAAGAAGAAGGAGCAAAGGCAAAGTAGCCCGGAGAGAAAGACTGCAGAGGATCCCAAGAAGAAGAAGAAGAAGAAGCAAAAGCAAAATAGCCCAGAGAGAAAGGCTGCAGAGGATCCCAAGAACTGCAGAGGATCACAAGAAGAAGAAGAAGCAAAGGCAAAGTAGCCCGGAGAGAAAGGCTGCAGAGGATCCCAAGAAGAAGAAGCAAAGGCAAAGTAGCCGGGAGAGAAAGGCGGCAGAGGATCCCAAGAAGAAGAAGAAGCAAAGATAAAATAGCCCGGAGAGAAAGCGTGTAGAGGATCCCTCAGAAGAAGAAGCAAAGGCAAAATAGCCCGGAGAGAAAGATTGCAGAGGACCCCAAGAAGAAGAAGAAGCAAAGGCAAAGTAGCCCGGAGAGAAAGATTGCAGAGGATCCCAAGAAGAAGAAGAAGCAAAGATAAAGTAGCCCGGAGAGAAAGGCTGCAGAGGATCCCAAGAAGAAGAAGCAAAGGCACAGTAGCCCGGAGAGAAAGGCTGCAGAGGATCCCAACAAGAAGAAGAAGCAAAATAGCCCGGAGAGAAAGGCTGCAGAAGATCCCAAGAAGAAGAAGAAGCAAAGGCAAAGTAGCCCGGAGAGAAAGGCTGCAGAGGTTCCCAAGAAGAAGAAGAAGCAAAGGCAAAATAGCCCGGAGAGAAACGCTGCAGAGCATCCCAGTAAGAAGAAGAAGAAGCAAAGGCAAAGTAGCCCGGAGAGAAAGGCTGCAGAAGATCCCAAGAAGAAGAAGAAGCAAAGGTAAAAGAGCCCGGAGAGAAAGATTGCAGAGGATCCCAAGAAGAAGAAGAAGAAGCAAAGGCAAATTAGCCCGGAGAGAAAGATTGCAGAGGATCCCAAGAAGAAGAAGCAAAGATAAAGTAGTCCGGAGAGAAAGGCTGCAGAGGATCCCAAGAAGAAGAAGAAGAAGCAAAGGCAAAATAGCCCGGAGAGAAAGACTGCAGAGGATCGCAAGAAGAAGAATCAAAGGCAAAGTAGCCTGGAGAAAGGCTACAGAGGGTCCCAAGAAGAAGAAGAAGAAGCAAAGGCAAAGTAGCCCGGAGGGAAACGCTGCAGAGGATCCCAAGAAAAAGAAGAAGCAAAGGCAAAGTAACCCGGAGAGAAACGCTGCAGAGGATCCCAAGAAGAAGAAATGAACGCAAAGTAGCCCGGAGAGAAAGGCTGCAGAGGATCCCAAGAAGAAGAAGAAGCAAAGGCAAAGTAGCCCGGAGAGAAAGGCTATAGAGGATCCCAAGAAGAAGAAGAAGCAAAGGCAAAGTAGCCCGGAGAGAGGCTGCAGAGGATCCCAAGAAGGAGAAGCAAAGGCAAAAAAGCCCGGGGAGAAAGGCTGCAGAGGATCCCAAGAAGGAGAAGCAAAGGCAAAATAGCCCGGAGAGAAAGGCTGCAGAGGATCCCAAGAACAAGAAGAAGAAGTAAAGGCAAAACAGCCCGGAGAGAAAGACTGCAGAGGATCCCAAGAAGAAGAAGCAAAGGCAAAATAGCCCGGAGAGAAAAGCTGCAGAGGATCCCAAGGAGAAGAAGAAGCAAAGGCAAAGTAGCCCGGAGAGAAAGGCTGTAGAGGATCCCAAGAAGAAGAAGAAGCAAAGGTAAAAAAGCCCGGAGAGAAAGGCTGCAGAGGTCCCAAGAAAAAGAAGAAGCAACGGCAAAAAAGCCCGGAGAGAAAGGCTGCAGAGGATCCCAAGAACAAGAAGGCGAAGCAAAGGCCAAGAGCCCGGAAAGGAAAAAAGCTGCAGAGGACCCAAGAAGGAAGCAGCACAGGCTAAGTATCCGGCGAGAAAGGCTGCAGAGGGATCAAGACGAAGACCGAAGCAAAGGCAAAGTAGCCGGCGAGAAAGGCTGCAGCTGGATTCACGACAAAAAAGAAGCAAAGGCCAAGAAGCCCTGGTAGGGGACTTCTCAGGATGATCCCACGTTACCGAATAAGCAAATGCAAAGTATCCTGTGATATGAATCTTGCAGAGGATCCCAATCCTACTCCTAATACTCCCACCCCTCTCCCCTATATCCCTCTTTCCTAGTTATCCCCTCCTCCTCAGCCTATCCCCTTCACGTAGGCCCGGAGAGCGGGCTGCAGAGGATTCCTGTCTTTCTTACCCCCCTCTTAACGTTAAGACCGAAGAAGAAGCAAAGGCAAAGTAGCCCGAAGAGAAAAGCTGCAGAGGATCCCAAGAAGAAGAAGCAAAGGCAAAGTAGCCCGGAGAGAAAGGCTGCAGAGGATCTCAAAAAGAAGAAGAAGAAGCAAAGGCAAAGTAGCCCGGAGAGAAAGGCTGCAGAGGATCCCAAGAAGAAGAAGAAGCAAAGGCAAAAGAGCCCGGAGAGAAAGGCTGCAGAAAATCCCAAGAAGAAGAAGAAGTAAAGATAAAGTAGCCCGGAGAGAAAGATTGCAGAGGATCCCAAGAAGAAGAAGAAGCTAAGGTAAAATGGCCCGGAGAGAAAGGCTGCAGAGGGTCCCAAGAAGAAGAAGCAAAGGCAAAGTAGCCCGGAGAGAGGCTGCAGAGGATCCCAGTAAGAAGAAGAAGAAGAAGCAAAGGCAAAGTGGCCCGGAGAGAAACGCTGCAGAGGATCCCAAGAAGAAGAAGCAAAGGCAAAGTAGCCCGGAGAGAAACGCTGCAGAGGATCCCAAGAAGAAGAAGAAGCAAAGGCAAAGTAGCCCGGAGAGAAAGGCTGCAGAGGATCCCAAGAAGAAGAAACAAAGGCAAAGTAGCCCGGAGAGAAAGGCTGCAGAGGATCCCAAAAAGAAGAAGAAGAAGCAAAGGCAAAGTAGCCCGGAGAGAAAGGCTATAGAGGATCCCAAGAAGAAGAAGGAGCAAAGGCAAAGTAGCCCGGAGAGAAAGACTGCAGAGGATCCCAAGAAGAAGAAGAAGAAGCAAAAGCAAAATAGCCCGGAGAGAAAGGCTGCAGAGGATCCCAAGAAGAAGAAGGAGCAAAGACAAAGTAGCCCGGAGAGAAAGGCTGCAGAGGATCCCAAGAAGAAGAAGAAGAAGCAAAGGCAAAGTAGCCCGGAGAGAAAGGCTGCAGAGGATCCCCAGAAGAAGAAGAAGAAGCAAAGGCAAAGTAGCCGGGAGAGAAAGGCGGCAGAGGATCCCAAGAAGAAGAAAAAGCAAAGATAAAATAGCCCGGAGAGAAAACCTGTAGAGGATCCCTCAGAAGAAGAAGCAAAGGCAAAATAGCCCGGAGAGAAAGGCTGCAGAGGATCCCAAGGAGAAGAAGAAGCAAAGGCAAAGTAGCCCGGAGAGAAAGATTGCAGAGGATCCCAAGAAGAAGAAGAAGCAAAGGCAAAGAAGCCCGGAGAGAAAGGCTGCAGAGGATCCCAAGAAGAAGAAGAAGCAAAGGTAAAGTAGCCAGGAGAAAGGCTACAGAGGATCCCAAGAAGAAGAAGAAGCAAAGGCAAAGTAGCCCGGAGAGAAAGGCTGCAGAGGATCCCAAGAAGAAGAAGAAGAAGAAGCAAAATAGCCCGGAGAGAAAGGCTGCAGAAGATCCCAAGAAGAAGAAGAAGAAGCAAAGGCAAAGTAGCCCGGAGAGAAAGACTGCAGAGGACCCCAAGAAGAAGAAGAAGAAGCAAAGGCAAAATAGCCCGGAGAGAAAGACTGCAGAGGATCCCAAGAAGAAGAAGAAGCAAAGGCAAAATAGCCCGGAGAGAAAAGCTGCAGAGGATCCCAAGGAGAAGAAGAAGCAAAGGCAAAGTAGCCCGGAGAGAAAGGCTGTAGAGGATCCCAAGAAGAAGAAGAAGAAGCAAAGGTAAAGTAGCCCGGAGAGAAAGGCTGCAGAGGACCCAAGAAAAAGAAGAAGCAAAGGCAAAAAAGTCCGGAGAGAAAGGCTGCAGAGGATCCCAAGAACAAGAAGAAGGAGCAAAGGCCAAGTAGCCCGGAAAGAAAGCTGCAGAGGACCCCAAGAAGAAGCAGCAAAGGCTAAGTAGTCCGGAGAGAAAGGCTGCAGAGGATCCCAAGAAGAAGAAGAAGCAAAGGCAAAGTAGCCCGGAGAGAAAGGCTACAGAGGATCCCAAGAAGCAGAAGCAAAGGCAAAGTAGCCCGGACAGAAAGGCTGCAGAGGATCTCAAGAAGAAGAAGAAGAAGCAAAGGCAAAGTAGCCCGGAGAGAAAGGCTGCAGAGGATCCCAAGAAAAAGAAGAAGCAAAGGCAAAGTAGCCCGGAGAGAAAGGCTGCAGAGGATCCCAAGAAAAAGAAGAAGCAAAGGCAAAAAAGCCCGGAGAGAAAGGCTGCACAGGATCCCAAGAAGAAGAAGAAGAAGCAAAGGCAAAAGAGTCCGGAGAGAAAGGCTGCAGAGGACCCCAAGAAGAAGAAGAAGCAAAGGTAAAATACCCCGGAGAGAAAAGCTGCAGAGGATCCCAAGAAGAAGAAGAAGAAGAAGAAGCAAAGGCAACGTAGCCCGGAGAGAAAGGCTGCAGAGGATCCCAAGAAGAAGAAGCCAAGGCAAAGTAGCCCGGAGAGAAAGGCTGCAGAGGATTTCAAGAAGAAGAAGAAGCAAAGCAAAAGAGCCCGGGAGAGAAAGGCCTGCAGAAAAATCCTCAAGAAGCAAGAAGAGTAAAGATAAAGTAGACCGGAGAGAAAGATTGCAGAGGGATCCCAAGGAAGAAGAAAGAGCTAAGGTAAAATGGCCGGAGAGAGAAAGGCGGCAGAGGGTCCAAGAAGAAGAAGCAAAGGCAAAGTAGACCGGAGAAGAGAGAGGCTGCAGAGGAGCCCAGCAAGACGAAGAAGAAGCAAAGGCAAAGTAGCCCGGAGAGAAACGCTGCAGAGGATCCCAAGAAGAAGAAGAAGCAAAGGCAAAGTAGCCAGGAGAGAAAGGCTGCAGAGGATCCCAAGAAAAAGAAGAAGCAAAGACAAAAAAGTCCGGAGAGAAAGGCTGCAGAGGATCCCAAGAAGAAGAAGAAGAAGCAAAGGCAAAGTAGCCCAGAGAGAAAGGCTGCAGAGGATCCCAAGAAGAAGAAGAAGCAAAGGCAAAGTAGCCCGGAGAGAAAGGCGGCAGAGGATCCCAAGAAGAAGAAGAAGAAGCAAAGATAAAATAGCCCGGAGAGAAAGCTTGTAGAGGATCCCTCAGAAGAAGAAGCAAAGCCGGAGAGAAAGGCTGCAGAGGATCCCAAGGAGAAGAAGAAGCAAAGGCAAAGCAGCCCGGAGAGAAAGGCTGCAGAGGATCCCAAGAAGAAGAAGAAGCAAAGGTAAAGTAGCCCGGAGAGAAAGGCTGCAGAGGATCCCAAGAAGAAGAAGAAGCAAAGGCAAAGTAGCCCGGAGAGAAAGGCTGCAGAGGATCCCAAGAAGAAGAAGAAGAAGAAGAAGCAAAATAGCCCGGAGAGAAAGGCTGCAGAAGATCCCAAGAAGAAGAAGCAAAGGCAAAGTAGCCCGGAGAGAAAGGCTGCAGAGGACTCCAAGAAGAAGAAGAAGCAAAGGCAAAATAGCCCGGAGAGAAAGGCTGAGCGGATTCCAAGAAGAAGAAGCCAAGGCAAAAAGCCCGGAGGAAAGGCTGCAGAGATCCAAAGAAGAAGGGAAGAAGCAAGGCAAGTAGCCCGGGAGAGAATAGATTGAAGAGGTCCCAAGAAAAGAAGCAAAGGCAAAGTAGCCCGGAGAGAATAGAGGAGAAGAAGCTGCAGGGAACCATAAAGAAGAAAGCACAAAGGCTAAGTAGTCCGGAGAGAAAGGCTGTTTGTAGAGGAATCACACGAAGAAGAAGACGCAAAGCAAAGTAGCCCGGAGAGAAAGGCTGCAGAGGATCCCAAGAAAAAGAAGAAGCAAAGGCAAAAAAGCCCGGAGAGAAAGGCTGCAGAGGATCCCAAGAACAAGAAGAAGAAGCAAAGGCAAAAGAGTCCGGAGAGAAAGGCTGCAGAGGACCCCAAGAAGAAGAAGCAAAGGCAAAAGAGCCCGGAGAGAAAGGCTGCAGCGGATCCCAAGAAGAAGAAGCAAAGGCAAAGTAGCCCGGAGAGAAAGACTGCAGAGGATCTCAAGAAGAAGAAGAAGAAGCAAAGGCAAAGTAGCCCGGAGAGAGAGGCTGCAGAGGATCTCAAGAAGAAGAAGAAGAAGCAAAGGCAAAGTAGCTCGGAGAGAAAGGCTGCAGAGGATCCCAAGAAGAAGAAGAAGGAAAGACAAAATTGCCCGGAGAGAAAGGCTGCAGAGGATCCCAAGAAGAAGAAGCAAAGGCAAAACAACCCGGAGAGAAAGGCTGCAGAGGATCCCAAGAAGAAGAAGAAGAAGCAAAGGCAAAGTAGCCCGGAACGAAAGGCTGCAGAGGATCCCAACAAGAAGAAGAAAAAGAAGAAGAAGAAGAAGCAAAGGCAAAGTAGTCCGGAGAGAAAGGCTGCAGAGGATCCCAAGAAGAAGAAGAAGCAAAGGCAAAAGAGCCCGGAGAGAAAGGCTGCAGAAAATCACAAGAACAAGAAGAAGTAAAGGCAAAGTAGCCCGGAGAGAAAGATTGCAGAGGATCCCAAGAAGAAGAAGAAGCTAAGGTAAAATGGCCCGGAGAGAAAGGCTGCAGAGGATCCCAAGAAGAAGAAGAATAAGAAGAAGCAAAGGCAAGCAAGACCGGAGAGAAAGGTTGCAGAGGATCCCAAGAAGAAGAAGAAGCAAAGGCAAAAGAGTCCGGAGAGAAAGGCTGCAGAGGACCCCAAGAAGGAGAAGAAGAAGCAAAGGCAAAGTAGCCCGGAGAGAAAGGCTGCAGAGGATCCCAAGAAGAAGCAGAAGCAAAGGCAAAGTAGCCCGGAGAGAAAAGCTGCAGAGGATCCCAAGAAGAAGAAGAAGCAAAGGCAAAGTAGCCCGGAGAGAAAGGCTGCAGAGGATCCCAAGAAGAAGAAGAAGCAACAGGCCAAAGTAGACGGGAGAGAGAAAGATGAAGAGGATCCCAGGAAGAAAGAAGAAGCAAATGGGCAAAGAGCCCGGAGAGAAGGTCTGCATAGGATCCAAGAAAAAGAAAGAAGCAAAGACACAAAAGTCCGGAAAGAGAGAAAGCGTTGCAGAGGATCCAAGAAAGAAGAAGAAGAGCAAAGTCAACGTTAGCCCAGGAGAGAAAGGTGCAGAGGATCCAGAAGAAGAAGCAAAGGCAAAGTAGCCAGGAGAGGAAGGCGCAGAGGATCCCAAAGAAGAAGAAGCAAAGGCAAAGTAGCCCGGAGAGAAAGGCTGCAGAGGATCCCAAGAAGAAGAACAAGCAAAGGCAAAGTAGCCCGGAGAAAGATGGTAGAGGATCCCAAGAAGAAGAAGCAAACCAAAGTAGCCCGGAGAGAAAGGCTGCAGAGGATCTCAAGAAGAAGAAGAAGCAAAGGCAAAGTAGCCCGGAGAGAAAGGCTGCAGAGGATCCCAAGAAGAAGAAGAAGCAACGTCAAAATAGTCCGGAGAGAAAGGCTGTAGAGGATCCCAAGAAGAAGAAGCAAAGGCAAAATAGCCCGGAGAGAAAAGCTGCAGAGGATCCCAAGAAGAAGAAGCAGCAAAGCCAAAATAGCCCGGAGAGAAAGGCTGCAGAGGATCCCAAGAAGAAGAAGAAGCAAAGGCAAAGTAGCCCGGAGAGAAAGGTTACAGAGGATCCCATCAAGAAGAAGAAGCAAAGGCAAAGTAGCCCGGAGAGAAAGGCTGCAGAGGATCCCAAGAAGAAGCAAAGGCAAAGTAGCCCGGAAAGAAAGGCTACAGAGGATCCCAAGAAGAAGAAGAAGAAGCAAAAGCAAATAAGGCCGGAGAGAAAGGCTGAGGATCCCAAGAAGAAGAAGAAGCAAGGGCAAAATAGCCCGGAGAGAAAGATTGCAGAGGATCCCAAGAAGAAGAAGCAAAGGCAAAGTAGCCCGGAGAGAAAGGCTGCAGAGGATCCCAAGAAGAAGAAGAAGCAAAGGCAAAACAACCCGGAGAGAAAGGTTGCAGAGGATCCCAGCAAGAAGAAGAAGAAGCAAAGGCAAAGTAGCCCGGAGAGAAAGGCTGTAGAGGATCCCAAGAAGAAGAAGCAAAGGTAAAGTAGCCCGGAGAGAAAGGCTGCAGAGGTCCCAAGGAAAAAGAAGAAGCAAAGGCAAAAAAGCCCGGAGAGAAAGGCTGCAGAGGATCCCAAGAACAAGAAGAAGAAGCAAAGGCCAAGTAGCCCGGAAAGAAAGCTGCAGAGGACCCCAAGAAGAAGCAGCAAAGGCTAAGTAGTCCGGAGAGAAAGGCTGCAGAGGAACCCAAGAAGAAGAAGTCGGAGAGAAAGATTTGCGAGATTTCCCAAGAAGAAGAGAAGAAGACAGCAAAGGCAAACAAAGCAACCCAAAGTAGGCCCGGAGAGAAAGGCTATAGAGGATCCCCAGGAAAGAAGAGAAGAAGAAGAAGCAAAGGCAAAGTAGCCCGACCGAAAGGTTTCGGCAGAGGATTCCCAACAAGAAGAAGAAAAGAAGGAAGAAGAAGAAGAAGAGCCAAGGCAAAGTCGTCCGGAGAGGAAAAGTGCAGAGGATCACAGAAGAAGAAAGAAGCAAGGCAAAGAAAGCCCGGAGAGAACCCACGGCCCCCTGCAGAGGATCCCAAAGGAGAAGAAGAAGCAAAGGCAAAATAGCCGCAGAGAAAGGATGCCGAGGAATCCCACGAAGAAGAAGAAGCAATAAAAAGGCAAAGTAGCCGGAGAGGAAAGGATGCAGAGGATCAAGTGAAGAAGAAGCAAAGGCAAGGTAGCCCGAAGAGAAAGGCTGCAGAGGATCCCAAGAAGAAGAAGCAAAGGCAAAATAGCCCGGAGAGAAAGGCTACAGAGGATCCCAAGAAGAAGAAGAAGTAAAGGCAAAGTAGCCCGGAGAGAAAGGCTGCAGAGGATCCTAAGAAGAAGAAGAAGCAAAGTCAAAGTAGCCCGGAGAGAAAGGCTGCAGAGGATCCCAAGAAGAAGAAGAAGAAGCAAAGGCAAAGTAGCCCGGAGAGAAAGGCTGCAGAGGATCCCAAGAAGAAGAAGCGAAGGCAAAAAGGATAAAGAGGATCCCAAAAAGAAGAAGAAGAACCAAAGAGAGAAAGGCTATAGAGGATCACAAGAAGAAGAAGAAGCAAAGGCAAAGTAGCCCGGAGAGAAAGGCTGTAGAGGATCCCAAGAAGAAGAAGAAGCAAAGGAAAAGTAGCCCGGAGAGAAAGGCTATAGAGGATCCCAAGAAGAAGAAGCAAAGGCAAAATAGCCAGGAGAGAAAAGCTGAAGAGGATCCCAAGAAGAAGACGAAGCAATGTCAAAGTAGCTCGGAGAGAAAGGTTGCAGAGCACCAAGAAGAAGAAGCAAAGGAAAAATAGCCCGGAGAGAAAGACTATAGAAAAGCCCAAGAAGAAGAAGAAGCAAAGGTAAAAAAGCTCGGAGAGAAAGGTTGCAGAGGATCCCAAGAAGAAGAAGCAAAGGCAAAGTAGCCCCGAGAGAAAGGCTGCAGAGGATCACAAAAGGAAGAAACAAAGGCAAAGTAGTCCGGAAAGAAAGGCTATAGAGGATCCCAAGAAGAAGAAGAAATAAGGACAAAATAGCCCGGAGAGAGGCTCCAGAGGATCCCAAGAAGAAGAAGAATAAGAAGAAGAAGAAGAAGCAAAGGCAAAGTAGCCCGGAGAGAAAGATTGCAGAGGACCCTAAGAAGGAGAAGAAGCAACGGTAAAAAAATATCAGGAGAGAAAGGCTGCAGAGGATCCCAAGAAGAAGCAAAGGCAAAATAGCCCGGAGAGAAAGGCTGCAGAGCACCAAGAAGAAGAAGCAAAGGCAAAGTAGCCCGGAGAGAAAGGCTGCAGAGGATCCCAAGAAGAAGAAGCAGCAAAGGCAAAGTAGCCCGGAGAGAAAGGTTGCAGAGGATCCCAAGAAGAAGAAGCGAAGGCAAAGTAGCCCGGAGAGAAAGGTTGCAGAAAATCCCAAGAAGACGAAGAAGCAAAGGCAAAGTAGTCCGGAGAGAAAGGCTGCAGAAGATCCCAAGAAGAAGAAGAAGCAAAGGCAAAGTAGCCCGGGGAGAAAGGTTGCAGAGGATCCCAAGAAGAAGAAGAAGCAAAGGCAAAGTAGCCGCAGAGAAAGGCTGCAGAGGATCCCAAGAAGAAGAAGCAAAGGCAACGTAGTCCTTAGAGAAAGGCTGCAGAGGATTCCAAGAAGAAGAAGAAGCAAAGATAAAATAGCCCAGAGAGAAAGGCTGCAGAACATCCCAAGAAGAAGAAGCAAAGGCAAAAAAAGTCCGGAGAGAAAGGCTGCAGAGGATCCCAGTAAGAAGAAGAAGAAGTAAAGACAAAGTAGTCCGGACAGAAAGGCTGCAGAGGATCCCAAGAAGGACAAGCAAAGACAAAGTAGCCCGGAGAGAGAAGCTACAGAGGATCCCAAGAAGAAGAAGAAATAAAGGCAAAGTAGTTCGGAGAGAAAGGCTGCAGAGGATCCCAAGAAGAAGAAGAAGCAAAGGCAAAAAAGCCCGGAGAGAAAGGCTACAGAGGATCCCAAGAAGAAGAAGCAAAGGCAAAGTAGCCCGGAGAGAAAGGTTGCAGAGGATTTCAAGAAGAAGAAGCAAAGGCAAAGTAGTCCGGAGAGAAAGGCTGCAGAGGATCCCAAGAAGAAGAAGCAAAGGCAAAGTAGCCCGGAGAGAAAGGCTGCAGAGGATCCCAAGAAGAAGTATCTGCAAAGATAAAATAGCCCGGAGAGAAAGGCTGCAGAGGACCCCAAGAAGAAGAAATAAAGGCAAAGTAGCCCGGAGAGAAAGGCTGCAGAGGATCCCAAGAAGAAGAAGAAGCAAAGGCAAAATAGCCCGGAGTGAAAGGTTGCAGAGGATCCCAAGAAGAAGAAGAAGCGAAGCCAAAAAAGTCCGGAGAGAAAGGCTGCAGAGGATCCCAAGAAGAAAAAGCAAAGGCAAAATAGCCCGGAGAGAAAAGCTGCAGAGGATCGCAAGAAGAAGAAGAAGAAGCAAAGGCAAAGTAGTCGGGAGAGAAAGGCTGCAGAGGATCCCAAGAAGAAGAAGCAAAGTCAAAATAGTTCGGAGAGAAAGGCTGAAAAAGATACCAAAAAGAAGAAGACGCAAAGGCAAAGTAGCCCGGAGAGAAAGGCTGCAGAGGATCCCAAGAAGAAGAAGAAGCAAAGACAAAATAGCCCGGAGAGAAACGCTACAGAGGATCCCAAGAAGAAGAAGAAGCAAAGCCAAAATAGTCCGGAGAGAAAGGCTGCAGAGGATCCCAAGAAGAAGAAGCAAAGGCAAAGTAGCCCGGAGAGAAAGGCTGCAGAGGATCCCAAGAAGAAGAAGAAGCAGCAAAGGCAAAGTAGCCCGGAGAGAAACGCTGCAGAAGCTTCCAAGAAGAAGAAGAAGCAAAGGCAAAGTAGCCCGGAGAGAAAGGCTGCAGTGGATCCCAAGAAGAAGAAGCAAAGGCAAAGTAGTCCGGAGAGAAAGGTTGCAGAGGATCCCAAAAAAAAGAAGAAGAAATAAAGGCAAAATAGCCCGGACAGAAAGGCTGCAGAGGATTCCAAGAAGAGAAGAAGCAAAGGCAAAGTAGCCCTGAGAGAAAGGCTGCAGAGGATGCCAAACAGAAGAAGAAGCAAAGGCAAAATTGAAAGGCTGCAGAGGGATCCAAGAAGAAGAGAAGCAACGGCAAAGTAGCACGGAGCGGGAGGAAAGGTGCAGAGGATCCCAAGAAGAAGAAGCAAACGGCAAAAAATCGCCTGGAGAGAAAGGGCTGCAGGAAGATCCCCAAGAAGCAAGAAGAAGCAAGCCAAAATAGTCCAAGAGAGAAAGGCTGCAGAGGATCCCAAGAAGAAGAACAAGCAACGGCAAAGTAGTCCGGAGAGAAAGGCTGTAGAGGATCCCAAGAAGAAGAAGAAGCAAAGGCAAAATAGCCCGGAGAGAAAGGCTGCAGAGCACCAAGAAGAAGAAGAAGCAAAGGCAAAATAGCCCGGAGAGAAAGGCTGCAGAGCACCAAGAAGAAGAAGCAAAGGCAAAGTAGCCCGGAGAGAAAGGCTGCAGAGGATCCCAAGAAGAAGAAGAAGCAGCAAAGGCAAAGTAGCCCGGAGAGAAAGGTTGCAGAGGATCCCAAGAAGAAGATGCAAAGGCAAAATAGTCCGGAGAGAAAGGCTGCAGAGGATCCCAAGACGAAGAAGAAGAAGCAAAGACAAAGTAGCCCGGAGAGAAAGGCTGCAGAGGATCCCAAGAAGAAGAAGAAGCAAAGGCAAAGTAGCCCGGAGAGAAAGGCTATAGAGGGTCCCAAGAAGAAGAAGGAGTAAAGGCAAAATAGCCCGGAGAGAAAGGCTGCACAGTATCCCAAAAAGAAGAAGCAAAGGCAAAGTAGCCCGGAGAGAAAGGCTGCAGAGGATCCCAAGGAGAAGAAGAAACAAAGGCAAAGTAGCCCGGAGAGAAAGGCTGCAGAGGATCCCAGGAAGAAGAAGAAGCAAAGGCAAAGTAGCCCGGAGAGAAAGACTGCAGAGGATCCCAAGAAGAAGAAGCAAAGACAAAGTAGCCCGGAGAGAAAGGTTGTAGAGGATCCCAAGAAGAACAAGAAGAAGCAAAGATAAAATAGCCCGGAGAGAAAAGCTGCAGAGGATCCCAGGAAGAAGAAGAAGCAAAGGCAAAGTGGCCCGGAGAGAAAAGATGCAGAGGATCCCAAGAAGAAGAAGCGAAGACAAAGTACCCCGGAGAGAAAAGTTCGAGAGGGTCCCAAGAAGAAGAAGAAGAAGCAAAGGCAAAGTAGTCCGGAGAGAAAGGCTGCAGAGGATCCCAAAAAGAAGAAGAAGAAATAAAGGCAAAGTAGTCCGGAGAGAATGGTTGCAGAGGACCCCAAGAAGAAGAAGAAGCAAAGATAAAGTAGTCCGGAGAGAAAGGCTGCAGAGGATCCCAAGAAGAAGAAGCAAAGGCAAAGTAGCCCTACAGAGGATCCCAAGAAGAAGAAGAAGCAAAGGCAAAGTAGCCCGGAGAGTAAGGATATAGAGGATCCCAAGAAGAAGAAGAAGCAACGGCAACATAGCCCGGAGAGAAAGGCTGCAGAGGACCCCGAGAAGAAGAAGAAGCAAAGACAAAATAGCCCGGA